TATAAGTGGTAGCCATATGTTCTTTATTATTTCATAACCTAAAAATGTTAAAGCAGATGGAATCAATATACACAAGATAATTAAAAACTGTTAATTTAAAAAGAGGAAAAAGTACAGAAACAAGTTGATTCAAAATGCAAAGATTATATTTTCAAGCCAACAACGACAACTCTAAAAAAAAAAAATTACAAAATAGGCTGGAAATAGTGTCTACGTTATTTACAATTCTAATTTTGAATCCACAAAAATTGATAAGTTGTGCAAACATGGAGTCAAAATAGGAATTTGTAGCTTGAAAAAATAATGTAGACACTATTTCTATTTGAATCAACTTGTTTCTGTACTTTTTCCTCTTTTTAAATTAACAGTTTTTAATTATCTTGTATATATTGATTCCATCTGCTTTAACATTTTTAGGTTATGAAATAATAAAGAACATATGGCTACCACTTATAAGAGAGGTGTCTAAATCTCATAAACATATGCGACATCCACCTGAAAAATTACCTCTGTGGTATATCTAACCGATTTAATTTGCGTTTTTTCAGGTTATTCCCGCAAGGAGGAATATCACACGATCACTGCCCTACTTGGCGAGGACGTGATTCTTCCATGTGCCTTCGAGTTCCCGGATGGCACAAAAGTGCCCTACATCATCAATTGGAAGAGAGAAGACGAAAAAATCCCATTCTACATCTGGTACGAAGGTTACCCGCCACATGTGTCAGATAACTACACAGGCCGTGTTTCTTTAATGGAGCCGGCATCTTTGAACTTGACCAATGTCCAAGAATCAGACCAGGGATTGCTTGTCTGTTTTGTGTTTTTCCTCAACCGCTCGCCAGATATGCCTTACAACACGTCCAAAATTCATCTGAAAGTGCACGGTAAGAAAGTTTATTTTATGCCTACAAATATTAGTTCACTATTATCAGGTATATTTATATTGTACACTTGTTTATTATGTAAAGTGTTATTTTATTTGGCTTTGGTGGCGTTAATGCTGTTTTTTTTATAATAGTAAACTTTTGCCAGTTCTTCTCGTAATTTGATCTCATTTTGTGTTGTCTATTTCAAATGTTGTGAAAATGATTTCTAACTCATTTTAATGATTACACAGACAGTAATGAGCCTAACTTTGACGATTATCAAGTTTTCTGTTTATAAAAAGTTCTTATATGTTTCTTTATCCTATCATTCCCGGCAAATCTAGTATTCAAACATTGTCTTTTTCACAATCTGATGGTAAAAAAACTTAACATGCGTAACAATAAACTACGAAAACATTATTCAGGATAAATTTGAGTTTACGCAAGTGTGTATTAAGAGTACGAAGTAACATGTTAAAATTCTTTAAAAACTTATTTCGAAGCTCA